TCACCTCATCAGATCAGCGAAAAGACAAAAGAATGAAAAACAGTCAAGATAGCTTAAGGGACTTAGAGGACAACATCAGGCAGACCACTATTTGCATCATAAGGGTCCAAGAAGAAGAGAGAGAGAGAGAGAGAGAGAAAGGGACAGAAAGTTTATTTCAAGAAATAATGGCTGAAAATTTCCCTAACCAGGAGAAAGTAACAGACATCTACATCCAGGAAGCCCAGAATTCCAAAAAAGATGAATCCAAAGAGACATTATGGTTAAACTGTCAAAGGTTAAACTGACAAGGAGAAAATCTTAAAAGCATCAAGAGAAAAACAATTTATTAAATATTGGGTTGTCGGAAAAGTCATGATGCATTTTTGCAACGAACATAGAAAAAATACGTCATGACTTTTCCAACAACCCAATACAAGGGAACCCCCATAAGACCATCAAGAGATTTTTAGGCAGCAACTTGACAGGCCAGAAGACAGTGGCACAATATGCACAAAGTACTGAAAGAAAAAAAAAAATTGCCAAACTAAGAATACTCTACCTGGAAAAGTTGTCCTTCAGAATTGAAGGAGAAATAAAAGCTTTCCAGACAAGGAAAAGCTGAAGGTGTTCATCACCATTAGACCGGCCTTACAAGAAATGTTAAAGGGACTTCTTTAAGCTGAAATGAAAGGGCACTAATTAGTAACAGGAAAACATATGAAAGTATAAATCTCACAGGCAAAGGTAACTGTATAGTTAAATTCAGAATAACTTAATATTATGGTGTTGAGTTGATCGCTTATAAATCTAGTATAAATATTAAAAGACAAATGTAGTAAAAATAACAACTACAATAATTTGTTAATGGATACACAAGATGTAAATTGTGAGATCTTTTTAAATGGGTGGCAGGGAGGGAGGCTAAAAATGTAGACCTTTAGAATGCATTCAAACAAGTTATTTTCAACTTAAAATAGACTGTTATAAGTTGTTTTATGTAAAACTCATGGTGACCACAAAACAAAAACCTATAGTAGATACACAAAAAATAGAGAAAGCAATCTAGGCATACCGATACAGGAAACAATCAAATCACAAAGGAAGAGAGCAAGAGAACAAGAAAGGAATAAACGAATTACAAAACAGCCAAAAATCTTGTGACATATGGAAAATGTGAATACAACATTATTTATGTTGTATGGGATGCTGCAAAAGCAGTCTGAAAAGGAGGCTCATAGTGATAAACACTACATCAAGAAATAAGAAAGTTCTCAAACAGCCTCAAGAAACTAGAAAAAGAACAAACTAAGCCCAAGCTTAGTAGAAGAAAAAGTAAATATCAAAGATAAGAATGGAAGTAAATGAAATACAGACTTGAGCTGTTTTTCTAAAATAATAAAACAGACAAACCTTTAGCTAGACTCATGGAGAAAAAAGAAAGGACTGAAATAAAATTAGAAATTAAAGAAGAGACATTACAACTGATACCACAAAAAGAAAAGAATTATAAGAGACTACTATAAATAATTTTACACCAACATATTGGATAACCTATAAGTAATGAATAAATTCCTAGAAACACAACCTACCAAGATTGAATCATGAAGAAACTGAAAATCTGAACAGACTAATTATTAGTAAGGAGACTGAATCAGTAATCAAAACCTCCCAACAAACAAAAGTCTAGGACCAGATGTCTCCATTGGTGAATTCTACCAAACATTTAAAGAAGAAATAATACCAATTCTTCTCAAACTGTTCCAAAAAATAGAAGAGGACGGAACACTCCCAAACTCATTTTGAGATCAGCCTGGTACCAAAACTAGACAAGGACCCTACAAGAAAAGAAAATAACAGGCCAATATCCCTGATGAAAATAGATGCAAAAATCTAAACAAAGTATTACCAAACTGAATTCAACAATACATTAAAAAAATCATATACTGTGATCTTTATTCCAGGGATGCAAGGAGGGTTCAACATCTGCAAATCAATCAACACCACATTAACAAAATAGGAGTAAAAATCATATGATCATCTCAATAGATACAGAAAAAGCATTTGACAAAATTCAACACCCATTCATGTTAAACACTGTCAATGAGTAGGTATAGAGGAAACATACCTCAACATAATAAATATCATCAAATCACATAATAAAACATAATAAAGGCCAGAAATAACAAGCCTACAGGTAACATCATACTGAATGGTTAATAGCTGAAAGCTTTTCTGCTAAGGTCAGGGAAGAAACATGAATGCCTACTCTTGCCAATATTATTCAACATAGTGCTGGAAGTCCTAGGCAAAGCAATTAGGCAAGAAAAAGAAAGAAAAGCTACCAAATCAGAAAGGAAGCAGTAAAACTGTCTCTGTTTGCAGATGATATTCTTTTATAGAGATGAAACCCTAAAGACTCCAATAAAAACCAAATAAATTCGGTAAAGTTGCAGGATACAAAATCAACATACAAAAATCGGTTCGATTTCTATATAATAATAATAATAATAAACAATCAGGAAGAGAAATTACGAAAACAATCCCATTTACAATTGCATCAAAAATAAAATACCTAGTAATAAATTTAACCAAGGAGGTGAAAGACCTGTATAATGAAAACTGTAAGATACTGATGAAAGAAATAGAGGAAGACACAAATAAATGGAAAGATGTTCTGTGTTAATGGATTGGAAGAATTCATATTATTGAAATTCCATACTACCCAAAGCAATCCACAGATTCAATGCAATCCCTTATCAAACTTCTAATGGCACTTTTCACAGAAATAGAACAATAGTAAAATTTGTAGGAAATCACAAAAGACCCCAAATAGGCAAAACAATCTTGTGAAAGAACAACAAACCAGGAGGCCTCATGTTCCCTGATTTCAAACTATATTACAATGGTATAGCAATCAAACACTATGGTATTGGCATACAAACAGACACATAGATCAATGGAAAAGAATAGAGAGCTCAGACATGAACCCACACACTTATGGTCTTTACTACATTTTTACTACGGTTTACTACAAAGGAGCCAGGAGTATACAGTAGGGGAAAGGATAGTTTCTTCAATAAATGCCAAAGAATGAAACTGAACCCCTATCTTACACCATACACAAAAATCAACTAAGAGTGGATTTAGGATGTGAATGTAAGACCTGAAACCACAAAATTCCTAGAAGAAAACATAGTGGGTAATAAACTCCTTGACAGTAGTCTTAGAAATGATTTCTTGGATTTGACACCAAAAGCAAAGGCAATAAAAGGAAAAAACAAACAAACAAAAAAACAGGAAACAAACAAAACCAAACTAAAAAGCTTCGGGTTAGCAAAGGAAACTATAAACAAAATGAAAAGGCAACCTAAAAATAGGAGAAAATATTCACAAATCATACATCTGATAAGGGATTAATATCCAAAATATCTAAAGGACTCATACAACTCAATAGAAAATAAACAGTGATTAAAAAATGGACAGAGAAACTTAATAGTTGGTTTTCCAAAGAAGTCATACAAATGGCCAACAGGTACATTAAAAGGTGCTCATCAGCATCACTAATCACCAGGGAAATGCAAATCAAAACCACAATGAGATATCACATCATACCTGTTAGAATGTTTATTATCAAAAAGACAAAAAAATAACAAGTGTTGGTGAGGATGTGGAGAAAAGGGAACTCTGGTGCACTGTTGGTGGGAATGTAAATTGGTGCGGCCACTATGGAAAACAGAATGGAGAGTGCTCGAAAAATTAAAAAAAGAACTACATTATGACCTAGTAATTCCATTCTGGGCATTTATATAAATGAAATTAAATTACTGTCTTGAAAAGATATCTGTACCTTATGTTCACTGCATCATTATACACAATAGCCAAGATGTGGAAACAATCTAAGTATCCTTCAATGGATGAATGTATAAAATGTGGTACATATATACAACAGAATATTATTTATCCATAAAAAAAGAAGGAAATTCTGCCATTTGCAGCAACATGTATGGACCTTGAGGGCATTAAGTTACATGAAATAAGCCAGATAGAGAAAGACAAATGCTGTATGATCTCACTTATATGTGGAATCTAAAAAAAAAGAAATCAAACTCATAGATACAGAAAACAGATTGGTGGCTGCCAGGGGTGAGGGAGGTGGGCAAAATAGATAAAGGTGGTCAAAAGGTACAAACTTCCAGTTATAAAATAAATAAGTCCTGGGGATGTAAAGTACAGCGAGATGACTACAGTTAACAATCCTATAGTGTCTATTTCAAAGATGCTAAGTGAGTCAATCTTAAAAGTTCTCATCACAAGAAAAATCATATATAACTGTGGTGATGGACACTAATTTATTGTGGTAATTAGTTTGCAATATATACAGATGTCAAATCATTATGTTATATACCTAAAACTAACACAATGTTATATGTCAATTATATCTCAATAAAAAAATAAAAACCAAAAAACAAACAAAAAAAGTCTATTAGAGAGGCAGAGCAGTCACCAGTTTGATCTCTGTTTGCCTCCCCTGAGAAGGCAGAGTGGGCGTGTGCTCTCTCTGCTGGGTAATGCCTCAGTGGGGAGCTGGCCGGGGAAAGGCTGCTCAAGGAGCACGCTGAGGAGACTGAGAGGAAGATGGTCTGAATGATGGTGGAGCAAGGCACTCACTACCCAAATTCTGGACCCATGCTCATAAATTATTTTCTGAAACAAATTACTGGAAAAATGAGAACATCTGAAAAGCGGAGAGTATATACTTCCAGGACATTTAGCGCAATGAACCTAACAGTTCTGAAAGTTCTTAGAAAATAAAAAAGTACAACAATATATAAACTAATATTATATCATATGGACAACAACTCATCCGAATTGTTGGTAGAGAGAAAGGAGTGGCTTCGTATCCTTTCAGGAGGTACTGGGAGCGTGCCCCACATGCCGAGTAACTCACATCTGTGTACAAGCCTGACCGGTCTTCTCCAGCCAATCAAAGCCCTGGAGAGTACAGGAGGATGCGTTCTCCAGTTCTTCTCCTGGGCCTCTTAGATTGGCTTGTCATGTTTATACAGACAGAGGGGCAATATGTTGGCAACTCCATCCTCACTTTTGGCTTATTGGACATTTTTGAGATGTGATACTGAACACTGCTTATGTCAGGTTTGCTTTAGGTCATACTGTCGGTCAGTTTCAGGCACCCAAAGTGTGGGGGAAATTAGAGTGTAGCAGGATGATCTGAATTTACTTTCCAATTCTGCCACTAGCTGAGTGACCCCGGGTGTCACTTAAGCTCTGTGAATCCAGGTTTAAGAATAAAATACTGGAGTCTATAAAATACTGGAGGCGGAAGGGGGTGTGAGCTTGGCAGAAAGAGAGAAGACTAGGTAATTATTATGATTTTCGGGCATAGAATCTTCCAGAACTATAGGTGACAAATTTCAAGCTTGCAGGTGATTTTAAGCAGTGTTTTTATATTATTAAAACAAGAACAGCTTTCATTGTAATGAAACAGGTTTTTCACTTTCTTGATCTAAGAACTAAAATATGGCCTCTGATCAGTTTTTGTTTTACTTCTCTTCACCACCAGTGCCCAGTATCACAGATGTGTAACCTGAAGAATTCCCTGACGCCTTGGGCTAACATATTTTCCTACTTAGTATGTTATTTGGGGTTTAGGGCATGCGCCTTGTGCCTCCTGTATGGCACATCCTCTGTGCTTTAGAGACAAAGCGTGCACACAGAATGCTTTTCTCCTACTCCTGGGCCCTAGCACAAGACGCCCACAGTGATCAGCATTCTGACAAAATTCTTGCTCCTCCTGTCACCCCAAAGGGCCAGCATCCACTATGAGATTTTGGTCACTTCTGCCATCTAGTGGTGGAGACGAAGAAACTGCTGTCTATCAGTCTTTCTTAACTTGAATTCCATGAGATCCCAGCTGGGAAGGGCTGGTGGCATTGTTCATCTTTAAGTTAGGCTGCAGAATTCCAGAAGTAGTGATTATAACATTTATTATGGCATTGACTTCACTGAAGAAAAAATAAAATACTGCTATTATTTAAAATATTATTTGGAATTCATAAAAATAGAAAAAAATCAGTGAAATCTAATATTGAATACATTTTAAATACTACCATAAACATACATAACATCAAGTAAACCAAGTTCATAGAAAACACTAAGCCTGCATGGTCATCTTCATATAAGTCACCGCCGGCTCTGGCTCTGCCACTTCCTTGCCTCAGACCTTCCCGCTTGGCCCCCAGGACTGTGGCCGGTCCTTCAGGCCCTTCCTTCTGAGTGGGGCTTTCAGGGAACCGCTTTTAGGTGGCTCCTCTGCCCTGGCCAGCGGCTCAGAGTTACTGCCATCGTAGTTTCTCTCCTGGCCAATCTGGAAAGAGACTGCTCTTCCCCAGGAAGAAATCTGCCCACTTTGGAGGGCGTCTCCCCACCAGGTTCATGCTCAGTGTTTATTATTGGGGTCAGGGAGGAGCGGGGGAATGAAAAAGGAAGATGGCAACTTGCAGAAAATGAATAGAAGAGAGGGTATAAGGATTGGAGAGGGGAGTTAAGGAGAAGGTAGAGAAGGGAGAATAACACTGCTTACCAGTGTTTGAAATAATAGTGTGGCACTGACATGGTATTGCAATCTGTGTACCCGGAAGACGAGTCTGTCATATACTCCCCAGTTTTCAATATTTTTTCCTTCTCCCAAGGAGGCTATCTACAGTAGTTTCTCCAAACTACGCTAGAAAGAGTCCACCACGAGCTGTGCGGAAGGACCTGAGCCGCTCTGATGTTTTGGGACCTATCAGCTTGATTCCCAGAAAGGCCTCCTAAGCACTATCTGAATCTTGAGGGAAGGGCTGGGGCTGTCCCCGGCCTCCTGCTCGCCTTCTCCACTTCTGGGAATCCTGTACCTGCTGTTTCCTTCCCTTCAGAGGCCTGGGCAGTGGATGCAGGATCAGGCTGACAAAGGGGCCGTAATATGGTAATTCATGTTTCTTAGGTGCTTGTCCACGTTGGGCAGGCTCTCCATGAGCCCATCTGCAAGCCCAGCCAGAGGGTTGCCCGGGATGCCCATCGAGGAGGAGCATGAAAACCTAACTGAAAGTGTGAGGCAAAGATCACAAGTGCATCTGCTGGAACTATTCTCAGGGAGGACGGCCCAGTAGTGGAAGGAAAACCTAGGTGGGCTGTAGAGTGATAGGGCGAGATCCCCGGGAAAATTCTCAAATATACTCTCCAACTCCCTCCTAAGGAGAGGGGGAAGGCCTGGTTAACTGGAACCTTTGGTCTTGGTGAGTGGGGTATGAAAGTTTGGGGCCAGGTTTCAGTTGCTTAAGACCCAGGGGAGAGGTAGCACACCCTTCCTCAAATCCTTTCTTCCCACAACCATCAGTTTCCCTCTAAAAATGCATGATGAAAAAACATACAAGTATTTGTCTGTCTGGGGCACCACGTATCTTGGTGAAGTTCTGTATTTGGTAGATAGCATCCAAGACAACTTTTAAAACAGTTGCCTCCAGGCTTAACCAGTCACCAGGATTCTGTTGTACAACTGGGGGCATTAATGGACGCAGCCTTTGCACCTACAGTCTCCTTGCTTCAGAGATGGTGGCTGTGGTGGCCTCACTTTTTGGACTGAAAGTAAGGAGTGCTTATGAGAAAGAAGCTGAGTGACCTTGGCAAAGGTCACTCTTTCCGACATTTGTGTTTTACCTAATTCACATGTATTAAGTGTCTGTTATGGAATAAATACTGTGCTGGGCACTAAAAGCAGGAATGAGGAAAAGTCCAGAGGAGGCTGTGGCAGACACATGGGCTGCTTAGTCACATCCATCTTTCTCTTCTTCCTCCTGTACAGAACCCTCGGCTGCATCACTGCTGAGGGCAAGACTACCACAGTGTGGCCCTCCGTTAGAGGGGCAGTCTGGCAGATCAGCATGGGCATGTGCTAGGGGCAGGCAACTCTGAGTTCAAATTCAGGCTCTGCCACTTGGTAGCTATGTGGCCCAAGACAAATTCCTCAGCCTCACTGAGCCTAAGTTTTTTCATCTATAACAGATATCTGTATCTACCTTGAAGGAATATTATGAAGATTAAATCAAATAACTTAGTGCTGTGTGTTTGCAGGCACTCATTACACGGCAGGGTGATTTCTTGCACCTTAGTCAAATCCATTTGCTGCTACTTAGATACAGTGATTTTTCCAAAGCAGAAATCTGACTTCCCAGTTCCCCACTTAAAAGATTTCAATGCCCCCCCGCATCTTTTTTTTTAATGGTTCCCCTTTGCTCCCAAGATAATGAGCAAACTCCTGATGATTTAAGAAGTTTTACATGTCCTGGTCCTTGTCAACCTCTCTCTCTTGCTCTCCTGTGCCCCAGCCGCATGGACTTCTTTATGTTCCTGGGAAATGTAAACCTTCCTATCTCAAGGTTTCACACAGGTTGAAAGCCCCTTCTTCCCACATCTCATCTGCCTGGTTAACAATGTCTCAAACTTCTTTGGGAAAAACTTTTCTCACCCTCCAGACTAGGTCAGGCCTCCTGACAATGCTCCTTCGCCTCTCTTTCAGGCTGCTTTGTAATTATTATTGCAGTGATTTATACTATGTCTTAGACAGTAAGGTCAAGAAGAAAGAACCTGTGCCGTTTTGATTATCACTGATTCCCCAGGACTCAACACCAAGCACAATGCCTGGCCCTTTTTAGAAGCTTAAAACTTTTGTTGAATAAATGAATGAAAGCTCAGAGGAGGCTTGGGAAGCACTGGCTATTAATCTGGGTAGTCCTTCTCTACTACACTTAACCACATCCTGCCCGGCATGCCATTAACCTTTAATTTTTCCTTTCCTTGCTGGATTTTTCTAGTTTACAACTTCGAATGTTCCACTGCTTCCATATGACAGGCTCAGAGGAGATGCTCTATGACAGTGGTTCTCAACCTTCCTAATGCTGCAACCCCTTAATACAGTTCCTCATGTTGTGGTGACCCCCAACCATAAAATTATTTTCGTTGCTACTCTAACTGTAATTTTGCACTGTTATGAATCGTAATATAAATATCTTTTTGTTTTCCGATGGTCTTAGGCAACCCCTGTGAAAGGGTCATTCGACCCCCAAAGGGGTCCACAGGTTGAGAACCGCTGCTCTACGAGGTCTGACAATTAAGTTTGTGAACTTGTTGCAACAATGTTGCTAACCTTTTTTGATATCAGAGGGATTATTCATTATGAATTTGTACCAACTGGACAAATAGTTCACCAAGTTTACTATTTGGAAGTGCTGGAAAGGCTGCGTAAAAGTTAGGCGACCTGAACTTTCGCCAATAATGCATGGCTCTTGCATCACGACAATGCACCAGCTCACACAGCACTGTCTGTGAGGGAGTTTTTAACCAGTAAACAAATAACTGTATTGGAACACCCTCCCTACTCACCTGATCTGGCCCCCAATGACTTCTTTCTTTACCCAAAGATAAAGAAATATTGAAAGGAAGACATGTTGATGACATTCAGGACATCAAGAGCCATATGATAATCACCATTCCAGAAAAAGAGTTGCAAAATTGCTTTGGAGGATGGACTAGGCACTGGTGTCGGTGCATAGCTTCCAAACGGGAGTACTTTGAAAGTGACCATGGTGATATTTAGCAATGAGGAGGTACGTAGCCCTTTTTCTAGGATGAGTTCACGAACTTAATTGTCAAACTTTTGCGTGCTGGGGAAGTGGCATGGAATGGAAGAGACTGTTAAGTGGCCTAAACAGGAACAAAAAGAAGGTTGAACTCTATTTTGAAGGTGGCTGTGGCTTGAGGTAAGAATAGGTTTCCTGCCCTAATCTTTCCCTCTCAGGGGCGTTGAAGTTGACCTCTCTTTGCTGGAAGGTGAGGATTGAACAGGACAACACTTACTTGTTCCCATGAAGAAATCATGTGACGTTCAGCAGGTGCCTTTTCTATGATGGTCACCTCTGTCACACCTGGGGATGATTCTGAAAGACGAAAAAGAGAGTCTGTGGAGCTGCAATTGGCCTGCTTTCACACATTTCTACAACACAGGTTGACCAACTGTTGATGACTGCTCTAGGAATATCAGGTTCCTCTGAAGAGCATTTACTACCACTGATAAAAGCAGGAAAGAACTGTTTGTTCACTCGAAGGCACTCAGTCCCACAACCTAGGACCAAGTAGTCTATCTGGTAAAAAAGGACATCGCCAGAATGCCACCTATACTCAGTCACTGCTCAGACATTCAGCCTGCTGAACAAAAACCAAGATTCTACATTCCTAGTGATTTTACACTGAACTTCTCAGTGAGCTGAATCTATGACATGGTGAGAAAGAATAAGGGATAGCCCCTCAACAACTTTTTAAAAGTTTAAAATAAACTTTTTAAAAGTTTAAAAGTTTAAAATAAACTTTTTAAAAGTTTAAAAGTTTAAAATAAAACTTATTTGGTAATTTTTCTTCTAAATAAAACCTATCTTCTCTAAGGTCCAGGATTTAGAAGCTAGGCAGACATTATTCATAAGGTCACTGCAGATGTAATTAGTTAAGATGAGTTCATACTGGAGTAGGGTGGACCTCTAACCCAATATGATGGGTGTCCCCATAAAAGGAACACTATGTAAAGAGAAGAGACATACACAGAGGGAAGACAGCCATGTGAAGATGGAAAACTGGAGTGATGCATTTATAAGGCAACGACGGCCAGGCTGCTGGCAAACCACCAGAGGCTAGAAAACGGAGAGGCGGAATCCTTCTCCTCCAGCTTTCAGAATAAGCACGGCCCTGCTGACACCTTGTTCAGACTTGGCCTTCTGAACTCTGTGGGAATAAATTCCTGTGGCTCTATGCCACCCAATATGTGGTATGTTTTACGGCAGCCCTATTACAAAGCCATCCACCTTCTCTTTCTGTGGTATTGTGTAGATCATTGTTTTAGGCCAAGGTCACACCAAGTCTGGATGCAATCAAAGCCATAAACTCTCCCTTTTCTGACCCATCCTCAGTATATCATCAGAGGATGGTCTCCACATCTAAGCTTGTTTCTTATCACATAGTATTCAGTTCTCCCTTTGGTTTGGAAGATAAAGGCTCTTATTATACCTGTTTGGTTTTATCTTCTTCTACCCCATAGTCAAAACCCTGTTTCAGAGGTGTCAGTTTATTCATTGTCTCCATTCCTCTGTCCCCCCAAAAATAAAATCTGTACTCATCTTTGATTACATAAGAAACATACAGACCCAAACATGTCCATTTTTCCCTCCATCTACCCAAGTCCCACCCACACTTGAAGGCCATACTGAAGCTCCAACTCCTTCCATTTCAGATGACTTTAGCTCACAGTCATCTCCACTTCTCCTCATATCTTATCCCATCACATACAGGGTCTTTTTCTTTCAAAGTTCCGTGTTGCTGAGGGGGTCTTGCAATCATATTAAGACCCACAACGGCCTCCAGCTACACTGACTCCAGTCAGGGAAATGTCATTGGAGGCTCCCCACAAGTAGTACAGACCCAGGTGAGTGCGTCAGGCATTCATAGCTGATAGCGTCACTCTCAACAGGCTGAGACAGACACAATACACATGGTTATTCAGTTTATAACAGGCCTTAGGGGAGGGGCTAGAGGCTCAGATAAAACTGCTGCGATACTACTGCAGATGAAGGCACATCATAATTAAGCTTTGAACACCTCCAGGACAGGCCATGCTGACTTTAGAAACTTTCAAATAATAAGTTGCTTAGGAAGTGCCCACTGTAGAGACTCCATGATCCAACACTTCAGCGCTGGTGGAGAGTGCTGGGGATGGGGAAGAGAGGAACACACAATAAATTCCATTTGTACAATGCTTTATTTCAGGGAATTGGTATAAATGATCTCATTTAGTCTTTCAATAATCTTGTGAAGCAGGCATCATTACTCTCATTTTAAAGATAAGGAAGCTGAGGTTAAGAGATATTAAATCATTTCACAGAACTAAACTTAAGACCACAGCTGTGGATGCCAAGCCTAATGCTTTTTCTATCACGTTGTCTTGGTTGCTAATTCCTACATGGTGGACGAGTTTTTCCTACACCACCAAGCAATTCTCGGACACCAACCAGCTGTCTCACAATTCAACTCGATACTACCAGGAAATAGTATCAGATTCCACAGGTTAAAGGTTCAGACCCACAAGACCGCCCTCCACTTCAGGTACCAATCATAAGTCCAGGTTGTTATCTAATGCTTCTGACTGACTGGCTATAAATCAGGCGTTCCCATGACCCCTCCTTGGGTTTAATTAGTTTGCTAGAGTGGCTCACAGAATTCAGGAAATTTATTTACTCACTAAGTTATTGGTTTACTACAAAGGATGTTACAAATCAATAGCCAGATAAAGAGATGCAAAGGGCAAGGTCCTGAACAAAGGAGAATCTGTCCTTGTGGAGTTTGGGGCCCAGCATTGTGGCAGGAGGAAGTGTTCTGGTTCACCAATCTGAGTCAACAATCTCTGAGATGTTTAATGAGGACCTATTATGTCCTCACTTGGGAAAATCACTGCCAGAGATTAGGGATTTAAGTAGGCGACCCTGTCTCAAGAACTCTATTGCCTAGTTAGATAAATATAACAAACATGAAACAAAAGTGAAGACATCAAGATAATATATAATGTGTTAAACTGGGTGATACCGACCCTAGGCCACAGGAATTAAAGGTAGATCAAGGCTGAAAAAGCGATAGAAAGTGTTATAAAATATGCACAGTTGATCTTGGCCTTGAAGGACCACATGGCCATTTCTGTAGACTGGCTCAATTGACACCTAATTCTGCTCCCTTCCTAATATGCTTTCCTATACTTTAGAGACTGGACAGCTAATGACTACATTTCCCAGACTCCATTGCAGCTAGGCTATGGAAACCTACTCTTGGAAGGAGGGAAAGAGCAGGTGCGGTACAGGGCAAATGGGAAGATTGGCTCTTCTCAAAAGCATAGTTGCAGAGGTGCTTTGATCTCATAGGATTGAGAGTTGTAGGGGTGGCAGAAGCAGTGGCAATTTCTCAATTTGGCAGCTTCCTTATCACACTAGCTGCAGGTACTTCCCACGTAGCATACCTTTTTTGCAGTATGGTCCTCAACCTAGAATCGGCTCCTTTTAGTTCTCCCAATGATGCTGTGAGCTAATGTTCCTTAACTGAGCCCTTTCTGCCTTAACGAAGTAAAGTGTATTTCTAGCCTTAAACTAGCTATGTATTCTATGGTCTGCATCTAAGAGCCCTGACACAGTTTGCATTTGGGGGCGGGGAGGTCACCTTTTTTAAAACAGGTGAATGTGCTCAGAACAGAGAAAGTGGTCATTTACGTGACTTGAAAATTGTGACCACAGAGGCAAACAAACTTACACTTAATGTGCAGCAATTTTTTGTGGATTCCGTAATATACAAGGTCATATCATCTGTACATAACGAGTTTACTTCCTTCTTTCCAATTTTTATGTCTTTATTTCATTTTCTTGCCTAACTGCCCTGACTAGATTCTTCAGTACAATGTTAATAAAAGTGGTAAGAGGGGAATTCTTACTGTGCAGAAAAGAGTGAAGACAGCAGTCTTGATATTGCAATCTTTTGGAAGGCCTGCTTGTTGGCACCTGGGAACTTGGATTTTGGGAGGGTTCCCACCATTCCCTGGTAAGAATGGCTCACTGTGTCTATTGGTGCAAACAATATCGTTTATGCTGAACACCTGCTTTCCTTCTGGGAGTCTGGAATTTGGTACATACTAGGTACAAGGTGCCTGACTGATTTCCAATAAAAGATCTAGACTCCTATGTGCAGGTGAGGTTCCCTAGTAGACATTACAGACATGTTGTCACATGTTGCTGGAGGAATTAAGTGTGTCCCATGTGACTCCACTGAGAGGACTCTTGAAAACTTACACTTAGTTTCCTTGACTTCCCTACAAGCACTTCTCCCTTGCTTTTGCTGTAATAAATCACAACATGACTACCTCCCAAGTCCTATAATTCTAGCAAATATCAAACCTGGTGTGGTCTTGGGAATCCTCGAAACATTTGTCTTGTTCCTGATCTTAATGGAAAAATATCCAATTTTTCACCATTAAGTATGGTGTTAGCTATGGGTTTTTCATAGATGCCCTTGTATCAGGTTGAGGAAGTGATTTCTATATCCTATTTCTAGTTTGTTGAGTATTGTTTTTTATTTATTTATTTATTGGTGAACAGTGTGTTTTTCCAGAATCCATCAGCTCCAAGTCAAATAGTTGTTTCAATCTAGTTGTGGAGGGTGCAGCTCAGCGGTCCATGTGGGGATCAAACCGGCAACGTTGGTGTTATGAGCATTACGTTCTAACCAACGGAGCTAACCGGCCGCCCCGAGTATTGTTTTTTTTTAATCAAGAAAGGGTGCTAGATTTTGTACTTTCTCTGCATCTGTTGACGTGATTATGTGGCTTTTGTTCTTTATTCTATTAACAAGGTACAATACATTACATTAATTGATTTTCATATGTTCAACCAACTGCACATTCCTAGGCTAAATTACATTTGGTATACAATCCTTTTTTAATGTTGCTGAATTTGGTTTGATAGCATTTTGTTGAGGATCTTTAAATGTTTGGTTTTGGATAGAAATGTAGTTGTCGAGTTATTTTATATCTTTCAGGGAGGAAATTTTGGGAGTTTGCTTACCACACACCTACGCCTGACTTCAGCTACCTTGTGTTTTAAAAAATCCTCTTAACATATTATCTTTTCAATAAAAATATAATTGATTTTCAATCTATGATTAACTTGAAATTATGAGTTTTTTATTAAATTTATAAAGAGAATTTTTTATGGGAGGCTAGATCCCCTATGCATTTAATTACCAGAATTGTTTAATTCCTTAGTAAGATTTTGCCTTGAAGTGCTACCAGTTTGCCAGACATCTGAAATGCTTAATAGATAGAATATATTAAAAGTATAAGTAAAATTTAAAATGTTTATAGTCATTTAATTATTTAGGTCTTTAAATCAAACTGGCAGCTTAAGGGAAATTTAGTTGGCTTGACTTGAGTAGATTAAACATTAATCAAAAGAAAATAACTTATTTATAGAAAAATTCCTAGATTTATAAAGAGAATAATGAAGTATGCCTGTGGAATAGAATATGAAGTATGCCCGACTAAATCCTGGAGTATAAATAACAGGGTGGAAGTTTGGATCACAATGCAGAGATAAGATATGGGTGATCTTGATTAGATCTCTCCTTGCCCTGCTCTATAACTTCATTTCTAAAATTTATCACTTCTCTCAAACACACCCTGGTGTTTCATGCTTCGTTTACTGTTTTAGGCACTGGGAAATACAGAGGAGAAGACAAAGTTCCTATCCTCATGGACCTCTACTACAGAAAACAGACAAATTTAAAAAGCCACCAGATAAATACATAATTTCAAGTAGTGATAAAATCATGAGGATAAAAAAAAATGTAGACTAAGGCAAGAGAGAGCCATAGGGAAAGGTGCTATTAGAACTATAACCAGGAATAGTGATACTTAATCAGAGATAATGAACGAAGTGAGAGAGACTCAGATTTACAGGAAGGTCATTTCAGGTGAAGAGTCTAGCAAAGTACAAAGGCCTTTAAGTGGCAACAAGCTTAATATGTTTATGGTACAACAAGGAGGTCACTGTGGCCAAAGCACAGTGAAAGTAAGGTCACAAAGACAGCTGAAGGCAGATCATGAGGGTCATTGTACAGAATTTGGATTTTATTATAAATGTAATGGTAAGGCATCAAAGCATTCTATACAGCAGGTTTAGTCTGCCCTTTCTGCTTGCTGGCTATCTGACCAATTCCCATTTGTCTTTCAAAATCTAGCATCATCATCTCCTGTGGGACATATTCCTTACCTCCCCAGCAAAGGTCAATCCTGTGTACCACTTCAGAGCAATAGATTACGGGCCTCCTCTCACACTCCTGGAGATCCAGTCTTGAATTTTTCACATAAATGTATTTTTAATTCCCCTACCTCCACCCCCCAATCTTTGTAACCCCACAGTCTAAGAGTAACACAGCGGTGGGTGATAAGTTAAGGTACAATAAAGGAAAAACACATTCAGTAACGCAAGGCTAGATATAGACTCCTTTGGACTGGTACACCGAGGGGCGTGGGTGTTGTCGCCCTGGGACGTTGGCTGCAGCATCCCCCCAGCTCTCTCTGCTACCAGAGGAAAGGCTTGGGCTTCAAGGATATTCCCTCAGCCAAGAATGTCTCTCGGGAGTGCCACCCTCCAAACTGTCAGGTGCCTGCTGTCTCTCCTTTGCACGATTTTGCCTGCCCTGACCGGGCCCTGCGGTGGGACCTCGCTCTGCGTCCGAACACTCCCGGCAAATGTTCCCCCGGCCTAGTCACGCACCCGCCTCCCCCTTTCCTCCTTAACAACGGAAGTCCCAGCAACGATGCCCACTGGCGTTCAGGATCCAGCATCGTGCCACCCCGTCCCGCAGTCGCCCTCCCACTGCGAGTCCCCGCCCCACTCACCTAAGATGCGGGTGATCCCCAGAGTCAGCTTCTCCAGGTGCGGCTTGCTGCAGCCCACCAGTGGGGTCGACGACTCCTCCATGGCTCTAGTACCCACTCCGCGCGCGGCCCGGGCACCGGCGGGGACTGGGCGGGAGAGCGGGGCGGACCCCAGGGCTGGACTCCGCCTCCGAGTCTCGGCCTTCAATCTCACGGCATGCCGGGAGTTGTAGTGCTCAGCGCCTGAGAACGAGGCGCGGCGATGATGGGAGGCCCGGGCTGGTCTGGGAGTGGTAGTTCCGTGGGGCACTCGTCCCTGCGACCCGGGCTAGTGCTTCGCACCACGCCTTGGGAACACAGCGACTCCTCCACCCCGACCCTCCCGCCCCGCCGGGGACGACCCTACAGGTGGGGGCGGGCCTCTGTGCCGAGCGGCCAATGGAGACGGGGCTTGGAGGCCGGGGCGGGGCGGCCCCGTTGCTACGCCCCGAGTGGCGGTTGTTTCAAGATGGCGGACGTGGCGGGCCCCTCCCGCCCGGGCGCGGCGGCGTTCTGGAGCCGGGACTGTATCCTTTGCCCGCCTGGCAGGGGGCGCCGGCGCCCACCCCGGTGCGGCGAGCGGCGAGCGGTCGCGTGGGGCTCAGCGAAGGGAAGAAGCTTCGTGCTGACCCCGGGGGCGGGGCCGTGCTGTCCCGCCGCTGTCCAGGTGCCGGGCTTTGCGCCTTGCTTGGGAATTAGGTGGCGCAGAGCGCCTGATACTGTCTCCAAATTGGGGTTCCAGGTGTGGGGACACAATGCATATGCTTCTCAGCCCTCCTTGGCGGTGAGCTCTGGAAGGATGGCCTACGGTCGTGGCCCAGCCTGAAACTGGGAGGATCCCCCAGCCTTTGGTGACCTCAGGCCTGCCGAGTCTGTGACTAGTGAGTTTGTGGAGGAGAGAAGGGTGTTGGATGGACAGGGAACCTTTTTCTTTTTTGGCTTAGGAGTGCCCTTGGTTTTGTACTGTTTAGGAGGATGTAAGAACCTTGTTGGACTTCGAAGGCCTGTCAGTGATGATTTCTTTCCATGCTGGGATTTCCCGAGAGGTGTAAGGCTTGGTTTCAGGGGAACGTGGTCTGGTGGTGCTGGCTATGGAATAAGATGCTAATCATCGCGACTGTATGTAGTATTGATGTACATGTAATGTGCAGGTCACCACTGGGAGGATTCCTTGGACTGTTTCGGGGTGGAGAGGCTGTAGAGCTTTTACCCTTGTGGTAGTCTTCCCAGTTCAGTTATCTGTGATGAGCTATGTGACCCAAGTGGTCCTTTCCCTGGGTTAGGTAGAGTGTGCCAGCCTGAGCTTTGGTCCTGATAATTCACTTCATGTGTGTTAGTTATTGTGTTACATGAAAGCAGGATGCCTGCAGAAGTGAGTGGTTTTGTGTGTTTGCTGGGATTGGTGATAGCATTGTTTGAGGCATTGCTGTTAACTGTGTATTCTTTGCACAGTCTACTTAAGCTCCCAGTGAAACTTACAAAATTATATCATCAGTTTCCCTTATTGAGTTACAAGGATTGGTGAGAGGGATGCCATGGAGAGAGGGATAGTTTTGCATTCTGGGCTGTTCAGTGTTTAGTGTTACGCACTTTCTAAACATAATTACCACTTGTCTCCCATAGGTTGGAGAGAATCAAGTGAAATCATGCACATACACTGGGGATGAAAGCACACTAGTGCGCTGAAAATTAAATATTTTTTCCTTTACCTATCAGTAAGGATGCAAAGGAAGTATGTGCATTGGTAACAACCGGGCTGAAGTAGGAAGTCAGGAAACAAACAGTTTTTTCTCAAGAAACACTGCCTCTGCAATGATAGAATTTTGTGATACAGGAGATATTTGAAGGTTATTACCTTATAATGTGCTCCTTTAAGGTAATTATTTTCTTAACCTCCTTTGTGGTTTGGTTATTATTCCTTAACTTTCTTTATGACCAGTGGTATTGTTCTGATATATAATAAATGGTTGGGCAGGGGGAGAAAAATCTTTTTCAGTGGGACTGATTAATAGTTATGTAAACTGAACCTATGTTCTTGATCTTAGCAGCCCTCTACTCTCACTTAATACATGTAGTCTTATTACTCCTTATTGCATATAAAAGTCATATTTCCCCCCTTTTTCTCTTAAATTCTCCCTTACTCTATACTCTAAAAATTTATGTAAAATACCCATTTTCCCATTGAAAGTGAAGAGTTGAAATTGTATGGGGAAAATAGTGATTACATTCTGTAGAAATTCAGATGTTTGAAAGGAGTTGCAAGGTTACTAGTATCACCTGTTTCTCCAGTCTATCCCAATTAACATCCAGCCGGAGGTATTTTCATTTTATATCTCCACAGGACTTAAAAGCGATGTCAAATGTGAATTTGTTACTGGTTCTTTGCTAAAAAGCCTAATGATTAGTTATGAATCATTTGGTTTAGTAATGTGTCTTTGGACCTTGATCTCTTCTTGTCACAGTGATGATTTCCCAGACTGCTCCAAAGCCTTGATAGTAGAGCTTTCAATAGAAAAAGGCCAAAAAGTATGTACCTATAATCTGATGTTCTTTCCGTACTATTCCAAGAAAGATTTTTCAGTGCTTCCCCAAAACAATTAGAGAAATGTGATTTAGAGATATCCCATCCTAGATTTTTCCATCATGTGAGAACAGATCATTTGTGACTGAATGTCATCGTTTTTACTATTGTTCTTATGAGTTATGCATCTCCTGCTTAGTATGATTCATCAGTACTGTTTTGTACAAGGTATATCTTTGTACCTAATGTGTAAAGAATGGATATGTCATGTTGTCATTTTGTGGGTTAAATCTGCAAGTAAAATAGGTCCCTTCAGCCATAAACTGCTTTCCTGCTTCATTGTAGTTCCTGGTAATATCAGAAGTTAATGTTTCTGCAGTATCTAAATTTGATTGCTTAAATACCCTCAAGTGTATTATCATTAACAGTATTAGTAACTTGATAATAACAAATATAAATGATAAGAGACCTGGTCGAACATTACAGTAGCTCTAATCTTTGCCATTGACTTTTCAATTAAAAATAGACAAAGACTTGGGCCGGCTGAGTGGCTCAGTTGGTTAAGAGCTTGCTCAAGAGTGTGAGCTCTGAGCAACAGGGTTGCCGGTTCAATTCCCGGCCCCAGCTGAGCTGCTGCTGAGCTGCCAACAGGTGGCAGGATGGCTCAGCTAAAAAAAATAAATAAATAAAATAGACAAAGACTTAATGTTTATTGTTAAAATAATAACTAAGCATACCTCTAAGATACTGTGGGTTTGGTTCTAGACCACTGAGTACCACAATAAAGCCAGTTGTAATCTTTTTTGCTGATGGAGAGCCTTGCCTTCAATTTGTAAAAATTGCAACATCTGTAAAGTGCAATAAAGCAAAACAGCAATAAGATGAGGTATGCCTTTACTAGCCAGGAAAGACATTGTGGTCAATAATAATTACATATACATGTGTTGCTGGTGAGTGATTCAAATTCAAAAGCTTAGAGTAGAGTGGGCAGTACTAAGTTTATTTCCTTCAGTTCCCAGTGATCTAGGATAGACATGAATTTTCCTCTCTACCACTTCTGCCCTGGGTTTCTAATTACTACTCTAATTCTGGGGATTTAGGTAGATTGGTATCATCATTAAGGATTCTTTATTACTTGCTGTACTTGTCTTATTGAGGTGCTTCCAAAAAAACCAAAGTAGAATTAAGGTGGCACATAGAACCCAGTAAGAGGTTCAATATACGTTTGGTCAATATTGTGTCTCTTTGACTTTCCCATAAAATAATGTTTGTTGGGAATCTCTGTATTTGAAGAAGGTAAATATTTGGGTTTGTAAGATAATGAGTTGGAGATACAAGTAAATTACAAGTGATTAGAAAGGATAGATTGAATGGAGGCAATTTCAAATATGTTTAGTCCTATTTTAAAAAAAATTTGTTAAGGTCAGTTTATTTAGCATTTTTTATATTGAAAAGAAATTTAGCATGCATGTTGCTAATGAGTTTTATCTCCATATTTTAAATGAACTAAAGAAAAAAAGGTAACACT